TATATGTACAAAATCTACATATAAAATTTCCCAAACAAATCCTGTACTACTACATGTAACACAACATGTATCTTCCAAAAGCAGACAATAGGTTAGGAAAATAATCACATTTTCCCTTTCCCTTTTATATCCCCGGACCCARCTATTYHTGCATTGCATAATTTAAAACAGAAAATGAGGGTTAGACCATACGGGTCTAGTGAGTACATCCCCTATTTGCAAATGCAGGGTGACAACCACCAAAATATGATAATGTAATTTTGACTTAAAAAGATACTGCAATATAATAATTGATACAGTTCCCAATATCATATATAAAGAAATATATCCAAAATCTCACTTCTTTAAAATATCTYTAGACAGAGACCCAACATTCCCAATATCAAAACTTTTGAATTAAAACACCATTCCTTTAAAAGGAAAGATTTAAGGCAAAACTTGTCTGATATGACAAACCATTTTCCCCTTCTTAATAACATCTAAATTATTACTTCTAAATAGGAATAATATCTCTAATTCACCAGGTCACAAAGAAATAATGATTCAAAGTTATTAAATCCAATTTAGTAATAATAATAAGAGTTATAATAATAACATCCACATATGACAATGCCACCYTTATTCCAAGTACACCTCTCCTTAATATGCCACCCTTATTCCTCCATTAAATCAAAGCTACTTATCAGAACAGACATAAGTCACCACGTTTGAAAGTACTCAATCCCAGTTCCAAGCCAGAACAGACATATGTCACCACGTCTGGGGGAACTACCTTTTAAAACTCACTTCCATACCAAAACAGACTTATGTCACCACGCTTGGTAAGAAGGTTTCAAAATATAGTTTCGTACCAAAACAGACTWACGTCACCACGCTTGGTAGAAACATTTCCCAAAATCCCGTTCCAATACCAAAACAGACTTACATCACCACGCTTGGTAGGAATATTTTATTTATTTTAAAAGATATAAAATAACCATTTTTGTAAATCATAAATAATTAAATAAATATTTAAAAAACTTATAAAATTTTCAACATAAAGATATCCGGACAACAAGTCCGGTCAATAACCACCCGGTTTACAAGTCCGGTCAACTAATCCGGTCAACAACCATCCGGTTTACAACACTTAGAC